AAATGCCTAGTTTGATCCCTGTTAGGCATAATTCAATTATAGACTAATAAAATAAGAAAACCTATTTCATAAGCTCAATGGTTTAATGAAATGGACATCACCTTAAACCATCTTTGACAAAATGGCCTACTAGAACAAGTTTATTGATGGGTATTGCCACATAGTCCAACCCCAGCAACTGTCAGAGATGGGTGACATTTTTGAGAAGAGACCAGAAACATAAACTTGAGGGAAAAATTTTAAGGAATCTTACAAATTTAGTGAGAGAATTCTCTATGAAGTAGTATCATTTTTGTTGCTTAGAACTTCATTTCTTACATACTAAATGCCCAGTTGGGAGGGTTGAAGTGCAGTGGCTTCTGGCTTTCTGAGATGGACCCGAAATGAAAAGCTTATAAGCTATGTTTTGTGAAAACTCAAGAAAGCCCAAATCAGTTTTTATTCAGTCATTTGAAGGACTGTCTGCTAGCTTCACCAGTAGCTGAATCTTCAGCTCAGCCCTCCCAAATAGACCCTGAACTTTTGAAGCTGAAACCCAAATTTAAAACACCCCCAAAACCAAATGGTTAGAAATGAGAGATTGTTTCTCTAAGATATGAGTTTCAAAGTACCCTCTCCTTAAGACATTGGAGAAATTGCCTACATTGGACTCTATATGAACAGATAATCACAACCGTATATCTTTAGGACATTCATTTGGAAGATTGGTAGAAAAAAATTCCACTAAGATCCAAAAGTACTTTTTTTTAAATAAATCCTTTATTATTGGACTTTATCTAATCATTTTCCTTTTTTGATTTTCATGTAGTCAATCCCTTAATAGGGCCCACTTACTGATGGATTCCTTCATACATGAAAGCAAACATGTTTTTCTTGTATGGGTAAATGAAACCCTGTCTGTTTAGGGAATGGGCTCTTATAGCTTCAGATTTCAAAGACTAGGAACTAGGATTCCCTCACTGTGAATCTACTATATAAAACTTAAATAATAATGCAACACTGTTAGGAGTAAGCCAAGCATTCTAGAATGTGGATCCTGATTGCTCAACCACCCATGTCCCCCTTTTTTATTAAGTTAAATTAAATTGATTTTTTTGTATTATCCAATAATAATTTATTCATTATAAGTTATAACTATTATTAAATATGTATTTTAAATATAATACATTAAAAAAACTAAGAAAGTAGCAATCTTCGTCTACAATTATGGTATGATACCCAATGCAACAATTCCTTTCTTCTTTTGTTGTTTTTTGCTTTCATTCAACTCAACTTCATGACCCATTATGATTTTCTTTCCTCATGTGGATGGTCTTTGAGATTCGTGGGGTTTGAATCTCAATGACCATCCAACGGCCCATATTTGACTACCCATATTGATATTCCCTTTTAATTCTACTCCAATCAGGCTAAACATGAAAAAAGATAGGGGATGATGACTTGATGAGAGAGAGAGAGAGTGGATAGATACATTGAATCTGGTTATAATAAGCTAGGGTTTAACACCATGGTGATGATTATCCTGATTATCCATCACCACCGAAACTGATGAGTCGGCATGGACGACCTAATTTTGTGTTATTTTGGACCCATTGCCCATTGGGCCCTGGCCTTTGGTTTTTTCCCTTGTTTGGCAGTTGGCACGTCGATTTTGGAAACCCGGTTCGGGTGAAAGACCAACATTCCACCCGAATTTCCGGTCCACAAGATGCTTTACAAGTTTGCATAACGTGTCTTCTCTGTTCTGAGCCATTGGATCAGAATCAAAGTCAAATCTCTTTGACCCTTTTTACAATTTGAACTTATCGAATTGCCATTCTGTGGGGTCCATTTCTTCATTGGAAAAGAGGGAACCGTTTAATATTAAGTACGATTAAAGCTTTGATTGAACCGCGCTGTCAATCATCAGACATCGTACCCGTTTGATACTCCAACCTAATTTTTTAAGCAAAACTATCACACGGGAGCGGTCCCGCTGAATACATCCTGTGAGACCTACTGTGTACGTCACCCAAGGCTGTATTTTATTGCTTCTTAGGTTTCAACAAATCACTGATCAAAACGCTAGCGCTCACACTGCTTATTCTAGCGTGACCGCTCCTAGCACGTCGATTTCCCTTTACTTGATGTAATATCCATCACGCGGGAGCGGTCACGTTGGAAAAATGGTGCGAGCGCTGACGTTTCAATTGTTCATTGACAGTTAAAGTTTTGGAGCCAATAGGTGATGAACACGATAGGGCTCACACAGTTCGCTCAGCGAGACCGCTACCGCTCCCGCTCCTGCAAACCTTTCGAAAAGCTCCAAAGGCACTGGACTGAAGGGATAGGCTTTCAGTATAAAAGAAAAGCCGTGCAAACTGTTGCTGACACTTGATTGGAATGTTTCCTATTCTGGTGATATGTATATATTAGGACAAATGATTCCAATCCAAGCATAACTGACAAGTATCTAAAAGCCCTAAATGTGGGCCCAGAAGGGTCTAATTGGAAACGTAAGAGGATCTGCAATGTAAGAAATTAAACCCTCCTGTTTTACAGGTTCATCCAAGCTGTACAAGTATCGGTATTCACGTTGCAATCACGTGGTTCCCCCCACCACCAACTGGATGGGCTGGACCCACCTCAGAAATTAGGGATCGTGTTAGTTTCTTGATCAAAACTTCCTCCATAGGGCCCACCAGTTTTTAACCAACGGTCATTTCATATGAATAATTCCTTGTCCGGCCGGGGAGGTATTGGGTTCAAATTTAGATTTTAGACCAAGTGGGCGGCTCTTTCTTTGGGCTGGTTCGACCGGGTTTAATCAAAAGAAATTGTACACTAATTTGTCATCGGCCCGCTTTGATGCAACTTAATCTCTAATTGTTTTTCAAAAAAAACTTAATCTCCAATATGACAAAATTAAGTTTTTTATCCTTTTCATTCATTTTTTAGGAAAACGAGCAAAAAAAATTGATCTAATAAGAACCCATACTAAAATGCTAGAAGTATATATTATCACATATACATATATACATACATATATAAATACATCATATGTATATCAAGGTTCAAAGTATCAGAAACGCTATACCTTTGGAAAGGAAAATTTAAGAGATGTATCAAGATGATACACCTTGGATACGCATGGATACAGATGAAAAATTAAGATACGTATGGAAACACTTAGAAATACTATAAGTATTCTAATAAATCATAAATAAACATCAATATCATTGAATATAAGACATAAATGAGCTATTTATGCATAAAAATAACATGTTTTAGTGGGTTTTATGAAAAAACATATTATAATTAATAAACATGAAGTCGGGAACAGAAACATACTATCTAATTATGGACATTATAGATCATGTAATTATTTTGCATATTTTATTCTAATCTTTTAAAAGCTAAATAATTATTTATTTTTATTCAAATAATTATTTTTCATGTTTTATTCTAAAAATTAAATTAAAATTAAGAAAAGTAAATATGTAACAAAAAATTGAATGGATTTATGGACATAATAGATGAAATAATTATTTTGCATATTTTATTCTAAAAATTAAAAAAAATAAATATCAATATTTTAAAACATAAAAGCATTCCACTACCTAGAGGTATATTTCAAAATGCAAGAGGCGCAATTCTCTCAAACACAAACACAAGGAGGTGAAAGCTTCCTTAAGAAGGAGGAAGGGGAAATTTCATTTTTTTTTATCTTTTTTTTTAATAATTATTCTTTCCTTTATTTTTAGTAAAACTTTTTTATAATAAGAAGAATAAAAATGCATGAAAGTTGTTAACCAAGTTGGTACAATAGAACATGCAGAACCCAATGTCCTGAAGCTCAATCCAGAGACTCTTCAAAAGTTCAAGCATGCTTTTTCTATTCCAAGCTATATATGAAGAATAATAAAGCCAACGACCTAACAATGGTCCCAAATGTTCGTCTCAAACTCCACAAAACCAACTACAAACCCTAAACTCTACACATTTGCATCACTAAATTGTCTTCTTTTAAACTGATCAGACCAACCCTTTTGAATCTAGTTACCCTTCAGATTAGAAGGCCTAAATTATATATAACGCACCCCCATTAATCCAAACCTAATTGACAAAAACTTTCAAATTATGGTCGGGTGAATCTTGTTGAACCATGGGCGAATCGGGTCAATGGCCTCCTCAACAGTCAACAGTAGCCTAGGATGGGTTAAGACTTGAGAGGGGTTAAGTCTTAAGTTCTTAATACCGGTTTATTTAAAAGGTCTTAATTAATCACAAGTTTTTATAATAATCTGAGTCGCTTCCCACTTGTATCGCCCCCGATATATGTAGACACTGCATTACTATGACGTATCATATTCATACATTCACTCATGTTCATAAGCAAATTATGCACCCACCAAACCTCAGTTGTGGTTTTCGCTTTCTTCATCAATTCCTTCCGGGCTTCGTTGGTTCTTTTAATATCGATCTCCAGTTCACAGTACGGAGGGAGGAGATCTGACAGACAGGGACGGGTCTGTCTAAAGCCACAGAGACGAGCTTATATAAGGCCAGATGATGATCGTTCAGGGCTCATGAAGTCGACTTCTGAGACAGCGAGAGTGGTGGAGACGCGTTCTTTGTTGGAGTTGATGGTTAGGTACTTCAGTGCTACATCCATTCTGATCCTCCTCGTGCTCACCGCTTCACTCCTGGTTTTGCCGTTGGTGCTGCCTCCGCTGCCTCCGCCGCCGTCGATTCTCCTCCTCGTCCCCGTCCTCATTATGTCCCTCCTCATGTTCCTCGCCTTGTTCCCCTCCGACGTCTCCAACATCGTCATGTCTTCTGTCTGATCTTCCCCCTCCCCCCATCAGCCCAGATCACAGTACTCTTCTTTCCCTCCACCCCCCCCCCTGCCCCCTTTTTTTGAAACAAAAAACTAAAAACAAATATCAGACCAGGGAGGCCAATGGAAGAACCTTGAACGTTTCCATGGACGCTTCTGTAAGATTACTATTATTATCATTATATTCTTATTAAATTAACTATTTTTATTACAGCAGATAACATTCTTTCTTCTTCTTCTTCTTCTTCTTCACCAATACAACAGAAACGGGAAGAGAAGAGCCGCCGCCGGGTGTCTGTACTGAACATTAGGCTTGATGAGGATGGGCGGTGGTGGTGGTTCGGGGAGTGGGACCCAGGGAAGGCGACCAAGAGTAGATAAGCATGCCGACGACGAGGATGGCGACGCCCAAGACGAAGCCCTGAGGTAACGTCGACGCGACGCCGATGTACGGTAGCGGTAAGGTGAATACGTACACGGAGAGAGGCACTGCACCCACAAGGTCAAAAAACAAGATCAAGTCAAGCCCCCACGAAACCCAACAGTAAGTGGATAATACATGCATACATGATACATGCACAAGACAAAGCCACAAATCCACAAACACGCAATAACTTTTCTTCTCAGAGAGAACAGAAACAAAGAGGGTTTGCTTATTCTGATTCGGTGATTCGGTCTGGTTGGTCTGGTCTGGAATGATCTGCTCATGCTGTTGCTCAGTCTCCGTCCAGCAGAGAAGAACAAGAAAGTATGGAAGTAGTACTTGGTACCAAATTCCAAGTAAAAAAACCTTTGTCTGTGTATTATAAGACCAACAGACACAAGCACATTCATCACCGTTGATTATCATCATAACAGTCACATCAATGAGATGATCTCATCTAAGCATTCAGAGAATGAAGATGAGATCTATCATGTTTTTTCTTTCTTTCTTTTTTTTTTTCTTAGAAGTGGCGTGCGTGAGGGAGGAACTTCTTTCGAGTTTTTACTTAAAATGAGATTCCAATTTAACCACGGAGAAGGGTCCGTCGTCCATACGAAGGCCGAGGGGAAGGAGTTGGTTTCGAAAGAGGCATGCAGAGCAATCAACCCAAACAAACTGCCCATGGTTTTGAGCTTTGAGGAAGAAGGGGAAACGTGCGTCACGCACGCTAGAGGAGTGGGCCCCCACCCCCTTAGCATCCCTGTCGATGCCGGGTTAGCAGGGGAAAAAGAGGGTGATGATGATTACATGGGCGCGCTCTCATTCTATTAACCACGAATACCCCACTGCGTTGTACTGTTGGGGTGGGGTGGGGGATATATGTAGAAAAAGTTAGCCCCAATGAATGATGAACACGATAGGGTGCTCGTGGATTCCTTGGTGATAGCTTGCTCAAGGAATCCCTCGCCTCGGGTTTCAAAAAATCCACACCCGCCTAAAAATTAACGGCGTTAATAACGGCCGAGTCAATGACTCGTTAACTCACTGGCGCGTCTCTTGTCAAATAGGTAGTAAGTAGTAACGTGTGATAAGGGTATTTTAGACATTTCACCCCTGGTCGGCGTGCCGGCCACAAGCAGGAAGAAGATGAATAATGAATCCAGCCTAAAGTAAAAGGGAAACGACAACATCTCAGTTTAGTTGTAAAGGAAGGCTGTGGCCCCACCAGTGCAGTTGACACGAAAGGTTGAGATATCGATAAGTACCGATGAATGTCTCATCACATCAAAGGGACAAAGACCATTTTACATGTCAGGTGGGACCCAAGCAAAATGGTGTTCCAAAATCTCATTACAGAAGACACCTTTCGAAAGATTACGAGCCTGGTTTTGAGATGATCTCCTGTCAATCTCATCTCAAGCGTGTGTTTAAAGCGAGAGAGACAAGACGAGAAATGTGGGGTCGTCGTTTCGTTGTCTTGGGTTGTATTCATGTATGTATCGTCACCTCTAATGTTTTGTCTGATTGTAGACCACCGAAGTCCTTGGTCCAGGAGAGGGATCAAATTCAAATCCTCCATTTTCTGGGCCTTGGATCCAGTCCATTGGCTTTATTGATGATGAACAGCCATTGGCTTTGTTGATGATGAACAGGAATCTCAACGACTCAGCCATTGGCTTTGTTGAACATGAAGTCATTAACCTCTGATTACACCATGGAACCCAAGCCAATGCTATCTTATGAATTCCCATTCTATTTATTGCTGGGGCCTGGGGCTATTGTAGCGGCTGTTGCCATATCAGTGCCACGTAAGAAAAAATAGTGCTCCAGAAACAGTTATCTATTTGGAACTCTTTTTTCATAGAAAACGGTATTTTAAGTCACATCTTGAAAATTGGGAAGATATGGTTTGGAACAACCCCAAATTTGGGTTTTCCTGGAATGGCAGCTTGTTGCTACCAACAGGGCATTGATGTTACACTGGGTAATGGATAGAAATGCAAAAAATGTTTCTTGAGCATTGGTATCAAATAGAAAAAGTAGTTGCTCAAGCAAACATCCTACCCGGCACCAATGATTCCAAACAATATAAAAAGGCAACGGTACTACAACTGCAGCATCGATGCCATACATATTCATAATTTTAGTCTTCCATTTATTAACAAGCAAAGAGTTTGGACCTGCTACCAACACAATTTCTAATATGATCCATACCCAAACACCTCAAACATGTTTTGATGAGGCACAATCCGGCCGATCTTAGCTGTCAACGATCTTGCCTCTGAACTGAGAGGAAGGGACCTGAAACGGAAGGGGAAGAGAAGCTCCGGGGAGGACCCGGCGTAAGGGCTCCGAAGCTCAAGTTAGAGTCCTTCAAAGGCAAGATAGACCAGATAGCGCAAAAGTTCGCATATCTCGTTCTTGGGGGGTAGGAGCCTTTTATAACCACCTCGCGCATTCACTTCCAGGCTTCCGTCAGATCGGGCATGATTACTTTTGAACCCCTGC